TTTTTTTTTTGGTACCACTATAGATTCAAATGTGAAATTCTCATAATTATGTCAGTACATTATTAACATTTAAATATACCCCATAAATATAGAAAATATATATATGCACACAGTCCATTAATTGACCAGGGGAAATTTAAAACATACTGTCAAGTTGAATAAATTTTACAAAAAAAAACTGCATTAAAAAACCTGGAAGGTGTAAAAAAATGAAATGGCAAAATAAATACTGAGTTATAGCTGTTAACTACACTTCCATAGAACTGTGTCTGCAGATTGGATGCAGGGACATCCTGGTGGAAGATGGCCCTGGGAGAGCCCTATGTCTCTGTGGCCCCTTCACAGGGAGAAGCATTTCTGGATGTAAAACACAGAGCCTCTCATAGCTCTGTTAAGTCACCATCTCTGTCACATTTAAAGCTAACCTACTATGTCTTAACCTATTTAGCACACTCTGAAATACTGAGGCTTTCACACGTTAGTCCATTTGTTTCAAGTTCTCTGTCCACGTAGTAGCTTCCTCTGTTTGTTGCACTCTAAGTAGCTATTATACAAGCCAATCTGGGTCAGTTAGGTAAGATGAATTTTCTACCCTAATCATTTTTAACTTTCCTTCAGCATTTACTGTGTAAATGCGCACTGATTAAACCAGTGAAAATGACATTACTGAATAAATGCTACACATTTCCTATTAAACAAAATCAGTTTTATCAAATATTAAATACATAATATTTTCCTTAGCTTAAATTGAGTATTTGTTTTCTATTTTTCTAGTCATTGCAACCTTGCCAATAACTATGTCATTTAAACTTTCTTTTTCAACTGCAAAGATTCTAAACTCTGATGTAAAATAGTATTTACGCTAAATACACTTAAAATAGACAACAAAATTTCAAGTAAAATAAACTGTATCCACATCTATTAGACCAAACAGGCCTGACATCTAGATTTTAATTCTATAAATTACACGAATACATTGTACATTCTTAAATAATGAATGCTTACAATATTAATTTGTAAGCCTTTCCACATAAAGCGACTTACACAGGAATGTGAATGGGTCAGTGTTTGTTACAGATTGCAGCACTCTTGATTTTCTCTTTTGTGGCTGCTGTTTTGTCTTCAGGTTTCCACAGACTACTGAATAAGTCCTTATGCTTTGGCTATGAAATCTGTTTGAGCTGAATGAGGCAACATTGGTTATTAAGGCTTAATTCTATGATGGAGCATTATCCTTAAATGTGATGCCATTTCCAGAGAACAGTGCATGAATCCCAGCTATCTTGAATCTTCAGGCTCTGTTTTGATGACTTTCTTTTCCAAGGTGAAAGCTGAGTGAGGGTAGTCTTTTAAAATCCCAAGGCTCTCTGCATAAAAATGAAAATACAACATATGCTGATATTTTAGATCAATGAACTACAAAAATAAAACAGTCTTAAAACAAAATTGCACAGCAAATAGTATCAACTATTCAATAATTCTGCAGTTCCACACAAAAATTTATTTAGAGTTGTGGTTAAAAACTTGGATTTAAATTTCAATGCCAATTACTAGCTATATATGTCTCTGTGTGTCACACCCTTTCTAAGCCTTAGTGTCTTCATCTATGAGGCAACTACATATGAGAGTGAAATCATGAGATGAACGTAAAACAATGAGCATGTAAAACATACTGTTTTTTAAAAATACTTGGTACAAAGGGCCAGATATTTAGCTCAGTGGTTCTGGCGCCTGCCTCGCAAGCGCAAGGTCCCGAGTTCAATCCCCAGTACCAAAAAAAAAAAAGTTGAGAAAAATGCTTGGTACGAAATGAAAAAAATAATGTAAGACAAGACTGATCACTTATATACAACTGTTACTGTTTAAAATATTCAGTATCAAAGAAGAAATGAGACAGGAAAGCATCGTCAATGTTTAAATATGGAACTATTTTTAAAAGTTCCTTCTGCTAGGATACACTAAGGGAAAAAATAAAGACTACTTTTGGACCAGGGATTTAGCTCAGTGGTTCTGCCGCCTGCCTCACAAGTGCAAGGTCCCGAGTTCGAGCCCCAGTACCCCCCAAAAAAAGACTTTCATAAGAAATCTGTTTACAGAATTATAAGTGTTTAGTTATTTCAATCTCACAAAAAATGTAATCATTACATGAAGTACTAAATAGCAGGAGACAGACAGAGATACACACACACACGCACACAGAAGGATTCCAAAAAGTTTATCCAAAATAGTTTATCTGAAATTAGGCAGCTCAATTTATGAATCCACTCTCTCAATACAAAAAGGGATTTTAATTTGTGGATAAAAGTAACAAAAATAGTAGCCACCACTTACTGAGTCCTTGTCAGCCATACAATTGTATTTAAAACTCTTTGATCTAACTTTCCTAACTACTTATGAGGTAAAAATTATTAACATTTTACAGATGAAGTAATAGAGGGACAAAGTAATTCAGTTACGGTTACTGAGTTAGTATCAGTGCTGAGATCCAGGCCCACATTTGCACTGTATGGAATCTGAATTACCTCTTCTCAACTTTTTAAAAAATAGCTTCATTTTTAGGTATTCCTTTGTTTTGTTCTACTTTTATAAAACCTTATCTAAACTAAACCTCTGTGCCAGGTGTGATGAAAAATATGGTGAATATTTAAAGTAACTCGTTACAGTAAAAGACATACTGCCATTCATTCCCTTCAAAATCCTCTGCTTGCTTCAAACACAATTATCCCATCATCCTTGCCACTTTCTGAAGTGGTTCTAGAAGTCTTCTCTCATGCGTGTCTTTAGCTGTGCTGCTATGGCTCCCTTAATGTCCTGAATCAATGCCCAAACCTTTCCCTGTCCTGGTCACCTTGACTTGAGGAAGAGCCAGAAGTCACACTGCGCCACATGCAGTGATGAGACAGGTGAAGACACACTGCCATGTTTTATCAGCCTGCCTTTTCATTTGCATAGCACACTGCAGTATGTTCACCATATTTTTTGATCACACCTTGTAAAGACACTCATGAAAGAGGACTTCCAGAACTGCTTCAGAAAACAGCAATAACAAAGGGATCAGTGTGTTCAAAGGGAGGGGGAGTATTGCGAGGGGGATTAGTGGTCATGTATCTTTTACTGTAATATTGTTTTAAAAATTTAAATATTCAGCATGTATTTTGATCAGAGTTCATAATAGAGATGCAAACTGTGGCCTGGTGGTAAGAAACATGATCAATATAATTGGAGGATTTTTTTTATAGACAGAGTTCAAAGAAATTTAAATTGGTAGAAAGCTTTAGTTTTATTTTTTAAGAATTTTAAAGATTACTTTTTCATATTGCGGACAATGAGACAAATATACTATTTTAGAATAATTTCAATTTCTTAACCTTGGCAGTCTTAAAGCAGCTAAAAGTGAATAAGTGGGGCTGGGGATTTAGCTCAGTGGTTTCGCCGCCTGCTGCGCAAGCGCAAGGACCAGAGTTCTATTCCCAGTACCCAAAAAAAAAAAAGTGAGTAAGAAATAGCAGACGGAAGTTATTGCACAGGGTATTATTCAGAACTTTGGCCTTTTTAGCATCTACTAATTGGAGCATGAGCAGAAAACTAAGAGATAGACTTTCTTAACTCTTTTCCTGGTAAATACATAGCCCACTCTATCAGATATAAAGTCAGGTTTAGTTCTAATGCTTTTAAAACTACTTTTCCCACTGACTTAGAATACAAATTTAGAGATATTTTATCTGGTCTTGGCTTCTTGATCTATAAAATTAGTGACACTCCTAAATTCAATTCAGAGACTGAATCCTAGATTCTTTTGAATGGTGCTAATCTAATACTGTCTAACTTACTTTATTTGAATAAAAATATGTAAATACCCAAGTAGAAACTGCTTATCCTTTTATGAAGTTTACTTCTGAAGTATGAATATCACCCCCAAAACACATCTGCATTAAAAATTCAGACTTTGTTACACAAGATTTTCTTAGTACAAGAGCAAATATTTAGTCTATCAATTTTGTATTAGGTTATTACCAGAGAAGGGCGATCCAGCCAAATTCAAAGCAGCCATTTATTGTTCAGTTTAAAAGTCACCACTCATGTAATAGCTAATGAAAATAATCTCAATCTTCTGAGTTTCCCCTATCACTCTTTGGAATACTGTGTTATGAAAAAGACTAGCTAATGTTATGGCAATCTAATTTTCAAGAGGAAAGAAACTGACTAGTAACACTATTCTGATGATATTTGGGGGCCGGGAGGAGAGGGATAGGAGGAATAGGGAGAAAAAAATGTAAAAATGATTTAGTCAAGTTCCACTCTGCTCATACACGACATTCTCACCTGATGAGTGGGACTTCGCCTCACCAGGGTAAAGTCTACTCAGCTCCCCATCGACCACAAAATGATGAGGTTGTCTGCTTGGTAAATTAGGCATCCGGAGATTCAGAGGTCTTTCTCCTGATGAAAAGAAAAACTACATATGAGTAATACTAAAAACACACTAGTGCTTTTCTTTAAAATGTTTTCAAAAATTGCTTGAACACTTCTTTGGAAAAGAGGAAAGTCAAAAGGCACTGAAGAATTTAAATAACAGTGGGGAAAACAACTTTTAAAATAATAATTTAGGAGGAAAATGGCAAGTCATTTTATGCTACCTCCAAAATACATAATTCTACTTGGACATTTTTAAGGGCTAAAAATGAACTAAACAAAAGACAGAATTGTAGTAAGCATTTCAACTTTGGGGTATAACACAATTCCTTTCCAGGCATTTTCTTACAAGGACAACCATTTTACCAAGGGATGTCATTAACCACACAGTAACAAATATTAGCCAGACAGAGATAGCTTCAAGCCAATTACAGATTAAAAAAAAAAAACTATGAAGAAACATAATTAGTGCACATACAGTAAAGATGCTTTGTACACTAAGTCATTATCTGTCATAAATTCATGTATCAAGTGAACAAGTTGCTATCCCACACTAAATTATCCTAGGTCACCAATCAGTCACCAAATCTATCATAATTGCCTTTGTTTCTCAACTGTTAAATCTTAACTGTTAAGGATGACTGGAGAAGTTAAACAAGACCACAGCCAAAAAGTCCCTGTGATATTTTAAACAGGCAGAATCTCCTCGTCCTCCAGCACTCTGATCTGCTGACAAGGCAGTACTGCATTCCTGTGGGATGTGGGAGAGTGCTTGTTATGATGGTACTCTTACTTGGAGGGAAGCCTTAATGGTAATAACAACGGTATAAAATTCCCGCTTTTTTCAAACCCTGAGTAGCTGCGTGAAGCTGGAGGCCGTACGCACACAGCTGACACTGCCCACCCCAAGCTGCTCACTGCTCAGTGCCACACCCAGGGACGCTACCAAAGCCTTGGATGAGTGGGTTGGACGGGGGAGTGACGGTGACTGGAAGTTTTCTTCATGTAAAGACCCGAGCAACTAAATAATTAAGACCGTGGTTCACTCAAGAGAGACAGGGAGGAAGGAAATGACCTGTACTGCTCACATCTCGCAACCATACCACCACTCAAGCACACATGCCAACTAGTGTACAGGAATAATAAAATGTAAAAATCTTTCAAATTAAAATTTGCAGAATGCATTCTTTCCTTTTTGTAAGAAGGCAATTTAAAATTAATTTTCACAGACAACTGATAATCTCCACAAAACATCAAGGTTACAAATCAGCACTCCTTTCCATTCCTGCTGGAGCGAGCACAGCCACGCCCCCACGGCCCGAAAGGCCCAGGTGGTGGGAGGGCAAAGGGCGGAGGGTGGGGGAGCTACCTTGGCCATCGGAGGTCTCGGCAGGCAGCCCATTGGGGCTGTGCTCCCCCGAGCCGGAGCCCTGCCGGTACAGCCCTGCAGACAGCCTTCTCTCCGCATGCTGCAGTCTCTCGTAGCCAGCTTGGGCGCACAGGAACTCCATCTGCTTCGCCATCACCTTTTCAGGCTGCTAGTAAGTGAAGCAAAAATAAAATCAGTAACTAAAACATTCTACATTTTTTAATGGTTTAGATGCCAATTTCAGACTCCAGCAAATATATTTAGTATTCATTAAAATTAATTCACACTTCATGTGGTATACTTGGTTCCATAAATATGAATAAAGGTCTGTATCATGTTAAAACTTAAAATGCTGGATTCTATACAAAAGAAAAAAGGTTTCTTCTCAATCCTGTGAAAAATATTCCATCCCAGTTCAAAGGCAACAAAACCTTAGCTTTGTTTTCCCAGGTACCTAGTGCTTTGAAGTATTTTTAAAAAGGACCCTAAGAACAACAGCAACATCTGCTATCAACTGCTTCTAACACACAGGGTGAAATCTTGGCATTTTTATTTTAGGATTTGGCACTAGACTCTTGAGAGAGAATAAGGTGTAAAATAGTTGTCTAGAAGAACAAGACAAACACATCTCCTACTAAAATTAAACAATACAAAGTATGCAGAAAAACATCAACGCCAAGGGGGATCTTCATCTTCATCACAGAATGAAACCACAGTATTTTTCAACCAATCATAAAGGACATGTTTTAAAATACAAAATTAGTGAGGTGACAAATATATTTACCTCTGTGTTTTATAAGCTCCTTTTCTATGCAGTGTTCTAAATTACTCGTATGTGATATTCAAAGCAATGTATCTGTGATATTTTGCCAGGAGGTAATAGTCCAAATGCAGATATGAATCACTACCATGTTATGTAAGAGTGGTGCATGAAAGCTGCTATATAAAATTGGTTACAAAAAAGTCCTGATTCACAATATTAAAAACCAACAGGTAAAATGTCTTAATTCATTAATCCTATGTATTATAGGATAAATGCTCATACTATTTTTCCAGATGTACATAAACCAGATCAATAGCAACCACAAATTTATTTCATTGAACTTGTTACTACTTAACTGATAACATTTCAGTTAAGCACTTCTGAGGAGGAAATATATTTGTCATACACTTAATGTGAAAAAACAAAACCTGGCAGTACTAAATTTGAATAAAAGCAAGCCACTAGGGAGAATCAATAGGAATAAAACTTTCAGTGCTTTCCAAAAGAACGTTTGCAGAAAAGACTTTTTAAATGTTCATTTCAGTGTTCATACACAAATAATGGCAAAGCACTTGAAGATATATATTAATCTAACATTTTCTCAGTACACAAATTCAAATAAGTGAATACTTACAGTGTTAACTATTAATACTTTATTGAGAACCAGTACTATTTTATCTCGGAGCTGTGTTATACACAGCTCCAGTCAACAAGGCTGTTTTCCTGACACTACTGCTTCTTTTCCATTTTCTTCAGCAGAGACTCTGTCCACCAAACTATAAGGAATAACTAAGTAGTGCGGGTCAGATTCTGTTCAGGAACCAAATCAAACCAAGTGGTTACTGCTGCCACGTTGATACAGCTGTGGATCAGATAACATTTTAAAAACAACCAGAAATAAACACAGTCCTCAAAATCCTAAAACTGAAACTAGTTGAAGCAGTCATTTATGTTTTAACTTCCAGATCTTAGGTGGTAATAACTGGCAGTTCATGTTACCTGTGAACTAAGAGCTGCAAGTTCTTCACTCTTAGCTCTCGCTTGTTGGAAGAGTGTTTGCACAGAATCCTGGAAGTCTGGAAACCCATCCTGGGAGTCAAAAAACGAGTTCTTAATATGTAAAACAGAAAATATCCATGTTTCAAAAACTCAGAAAATAAAGCAAAGAAAACCACCTTAATTCCACTATGCAAATAATCACAGGTAGGTTTTTAAAATGAGCTATTTCATTTCAATCCCTTATGGTACAAATAGTTTATGTTCTACACTGTAATTTCAGTAAAAACATGCATGAAAAAAGATGAAAAATATAATCATTCTCATGTTTTATACTTGGAAACAAACTTTATCATCACTGACAACGATTATATAGCATTTCAACTAATGGTTCAACTAACCACAGGCAATTAACCCCCAGGCCTTTACAATAAGCCATGACCCCAGCCCCTTTTTAAATTTTTGAGGCAGGGTCTCACTAAGTTGCTAACTTGCTCAGGCTTGGCTCAAACTTGCCATCCCTCTGCCTCCACCTCCCAGAGTGTTGGGAGTCACAGGCATGGGTCACCAGGTGCAGCTAGATATTTCATATGTATCACCTCATTAACCCCTCAGAAACAACTCTGGGGTTCCACTATTTCTGTCATTTTACAACTATTTACAGTTGGCCTCCAAGCCCATGCTCAATCTATAAAACCATACAGTGACTATTTTATGAAATTCATAACAATAAATACAGGCATTCCTCATAGAGTCTGTTTTTCATATGAACTGGCTTTAGCTCTATTATTTTGTGCTTAATCTGAAATCACATTCTACTGATTTCTGCAGAGCAGGTTATTTCACCTTTATGTTTTCTCTTCTGTAAAAGGGGTACAACATTTGCACCTAGGTAACTTACAGAATCATTTTAGGAAAGCAAAAATATGTCATGAAAAATACTTAGCATAGGGCCGGGGATTTAGCTCAGTGGTTTTGTCGTCCTGCTTGCAAGCACAAGGACCTGAGTTTGATCCCCGGTACCAAAAAAAAAAAAACTTAGCATAGTTCTCAGCAAACAGAAATTACCCAATAAATGTTTGTTCTTAATATTGATTATCTGAATCCAAAGCTACCAGATTTAATCAAGTGTAAACCAGCAAGTGATGTGGCTTATTGCACAGCGGGAAATGGATAAATTTCAGGGATATTTACAATGAGTAAGAACTAGACACTGAACACTAAATCCATAAGGAGAATAAAGAGTATATTGGTGGGGAGCTGTTTTAGTGAAAAGCACACCAGAAATCTAGAAACGTGTTTATGCATTCAACAAAAATGTTACCTAACGGGTTTACACACTACTTTTACGGTGAGAGAAAAGCGAACAAGAGAGACACCTTCTGTGCTCTGGTAAACACAGACCAGAGAGAGAAACGAACAAGACACCCAGGGCACAGCAAACCATGGTGGCAGAAGAGGCTCCCTCCCTAGAAGGCAGGAAGTCCAGGCTAAGACTTGGGGAAACACCGTTTCCTTATAGAAAGGAGGCTTATAGAAGGGCCTGGAGCAAAAAGAACAGGCTACATCATGATGCTAGAAAACAATATATATAAAATAGGGAATACTGTGGACTGAGAAAGAGGAAGTGAGTGGAGAAATTCGAAACACAGGGCCAGACTCTGTGTGGCTTTTAATCTATGTTAAGAATTTTAGGTTATATCTTAAATTCAAAAAGAATCTACTGAAGGTTCTAGAAGAGAGTCCGATAAGATCTGCATTTCAGAAAGGCCAACCTTATCACAGGAGACTTGTTAAAGGGCTGTAGTAAGGAAGGAGAATGTGGCTCAGTCTGGACAGAGGCAGACACAACAGAAATGGAAGAACTGAGACTGGGCACGCAGGAGTCTGCTGATGACATCTGCTATGAGGAGCTGTGAGCCAGGTTTAGGGAGGTGCCAGAAAATTGATGAATCTGGCCAGGGACACATTGAATGTACAGGCTGGTGAGACTCTGTGTACCTGTCAGATAAGTAGGTAGCCAGGTTTGGAGCTAGGTGCAAAATCAGGGCTGGAGACCCAGACTGGAGAGTCACTGGCTCATCAGCAAGCTCTGGGTGGAACATGCTCAGTCAGAATCCACAGGTGCCTCAGTATCTCAATACTGTTTTTGAAGGAGTTTACAGAAGCAAAAAGAAGTTAGTCTTCTTATGTTAGGAGCCAGATATATGGTCTTAGGAAAGAAAGTTGACCTCGTTATTTCCAGTGTCCCTAATTTTTAAATGGGGATTATACCACATGCTTTATTTGCCTAGAGAAGATTTGTGGGGATCAAAGGAAGCAATGCAAATGGTAAATCGTATCATGCAAACATATGGTGGCACCACTGACAGGATTATTCAGCCACAGAAACACTGAAAAGCTGCATGGTGAGAATTTCTAACTCTGCATGACAAAGTTTCAGCTCTATTATTCATGAGGAGAAATAAGACTCTGCAATAAGTAATAACGATAACCAAGTAATTAGGTATCTTTCTGCAACTAAGTATATTAGTCATTCCTGATTTTCTCCCACAATCTTGGTAGCTCACTGTGGATGGGGAAAGCTAAGATCAAGTAGCTATCACTGAATGAAGTGTAAAGTAGGTGTAGGCTACCCAAAATATAGGACTTAAAAGAAAATAAAACTGAGAACATTCCCAAGAAACTGGTCTCTTTCACATTATGTTTGATGCAGGACTTTTGTAATATGTCTCTGAAGCTCTTTTTCTCAGCACCAGCTGTACCATGCTATGAGCAATTTATCTCCATGTCATATTCTTGGCTGCTGCCATTAATCACACTCTTCCCTTGCTGATGAGACTCTGGGTTTGAACACTGAGAAAATAAAAGATATAGGGTGGGATGCTGTTTATGACCTCATTACTCTCACCCCATTGATCTCCATCCCATTCCTTCTCATCTTTTTTGCCAAACACCAGCAAGCTCCTCTGAAGTCACTGTGTAGCTGTCTTTAAATGACTTGTTACAGCAGATGTTATCAAGCCCACATGTGCATTTTCCTTTCTTCTACTCACACTTTCTGTATGAACAACAGATTGTAATGCTTCTGTTTTTCTGATCCAGAGGGGACTAGTCTATATCAGGTTAGACCAGCTTTCTTTTCAACAAGCTTAGCAACAGCGTAGGTGGATATTCTGACCCTCTTCCCTCCCCCTTCCTCAAAACCCTACTCCCACCCCACTGGAACTACTAGCAGATGTTTCCTCTAAGTCTTTTTTTATACTCTAGTTCTCTGGTTTTCTGAGCTCTATTACATTTCATCTCTTTCACCCAGTTGTCTCTACCTGCTTTGCAGCCCTTACCCCACAGGATAAGAAAGCTGTAATCTCCCTCTCTGCCTCCTTTCCAGCAATTCAGTGAATGAGGAAACTTACAGAAGAGATACTAACAGTAGCAGTCCACTCAGTCATCTGCCTTTACCATTCCTGAGACTGGTGGCTTTACATATTGTTCCCCCAAGATGTTCCTTATAACACTGGAGGTTATAATAGAGTTGGTTCAAGTCAATGGAATCTAGTTTTCATTAATGTTTTTAAAAATTCAGAAGACAAGACAGCCAGGGACTTTGACTCTTGGTTTTTCATGTCCTTGAACTAGCTGTCAACCATCTTAAATATATCCTGTCACAGTCAGGTATAAATAAATCAGACTAACTTTTCTTGATTTATTCTAGCTTCCCAACACTGTTTTTACTCATAATAAATAATTAGCATATCACTAATAATATCATATATAAATACATTTTATAATTCACAAATTTTCTACTCAAAACTTCCAGGTGTTGACTAGCTTCCTTGCATTAGAAAGTAACTGCCACTCTTAGCCTTGCTTCAAAGCCCACAGTCCTATACACTCTAGTCCCAGCAAGGTTTACTTCACACCTAAGGTGCTTTGTGAATACTCATCAGCACCTAAAAAGGCGGCACCAGTTTGAAGTTTAGAAGTGAGACATAGATTGGAAACCCTGGCTCTGCCACTGAACAGCAACGTGGCAACTTGGGCAAGTTACTGGGCCTTTCTGGTCTGCCTTGACTATAACATGTAAATCATAAAGCTTCTATATACTGTAGAGCAAGGTTTGTGATGATGACTTACAAATGCCTGGAAGTGATTGGCACATAATAGTTAATAAAAAGTCATTATTTTTACAACTGCTAAATAGCTGAAAGATTTGGAGACCTTGATTAAGAAGAAGAACAGAAAGAATACTCTTGCTGAAAGCAGACTCATATAAACTGCTCGCTAGTCTGGGCAGAACTGTTCCCAAGCTTTAACTAGCATACGGGGGAAGGTGTTTCCCCTAGAAGTTCCCTCCAAGGGGTAGTTTCCCTAAGGCCCACTCAAGCTAGCAGGCTTTTTGTTCTCCGTGGCTATCTCATTTACTCTAGGAATTAAAGAAATGAAGTTTAAAATCTTTACTGTTTTTATGTCTAACATACTCTGGAAGGGTGACCACTACCTAAGGACAACAGATGATCTTGAGTACTTCTATCCAATGTGTATACTAATATTTTCAAAAACAAATGAATAGTAGCTAACTATCCTTAAGAGAGAACCATTTGCATAGTCCTTTCTAGGGAGGAAAATCAGACAAGTGTTTTAAAACTTCATTCCACCCAACTCTTCATGTACAGATCAGGGAAATGCAGTATTTAGCATGAGAAAAGAGCTTATTAAGCTTGAACAAAGTACTACTTTTATTAGTGTACTCTAATGCACTGATAATGGCAAGAAAGAGAATGTTTCTCTTTCCCTTACATGTCAAATTATTTTGATATAATTTCTAGCCTATCTACTACACATTATATTTTTCTTTGGTGAACTGGAAAAACAATAAACTGAGCTTGGCATGGATGTTCATTGGTTGCTGTAATAGATTTTGAAAAAGAAAGATAAAAGGGAAAGGAAGAAATCATCTCATTAACTTGAACCTAGTAACTAGGAATCAGTTACAAGTTTATATTTCTTTCCTTAAGTAAAGACTAATAGGCTAAGAATCACAAAGAAATAATAAATAAGAGTAAAAGTATGGGGGAAAGGGAAGAAGGGAAAGGAAAAATTATGAGAAAAGAAAAAAACAATGGAAACAAAATCTATGTAAATAGGGAAGGGTGGAGGGGGTGAAGGGCGCACAGGCAATGGGGAAAAAAATAAGAACTAAGATGCATCATGTACAGGTACAAGCATCCAATGATAAATGTAAATGAACTGTATACCTAAAATGTACCAATAAAAGAATTAAAAAAGAAAAAACAGTAAAAGTATGAGCAAAGATTTCTAAAATTCTATTTATCAAGTCTGTTGTATCAATCACATATCCAGACAAACGCTTCTACTCATCGCTGTCTGAACATGCTTAGCATTCTCTTACCTCTGCTTTTGCTCACTCTACGCTACATTTATAACACCACCCCATTCCCACCTGGAATCCCTGCCTTCTGAAATTCCGACCTCCTTTAAAACCTAGCTCAAATGATACCCTTCCCTTAAGAGACCCCCATTTCTTCTCATGCCAGAAAGTCTCCTTGTCTTCAGCAGCCACACAGAAGGCGGGCAGAAACAAAACACTGATATTCATGAGAAGCCCTAACAATTCATGATGGTGCTGTAATTCCTGTCTCACTGACAGGAGGCTTGGAACCACCATTAGTACATGTATGAATGTCCATCGGGTGGCACGGGTAGTACAAGCCACTAATGAGACAGTCATATATGTACCATCAGTGGTTCAAACCGGTGGCAAGGTGTTAAAGGAATAAAATCCCTTTACAGTCAATACTGACGACCTCAGTGGCAGCTTTCAGAACCAAAAGAATAGCTCTAGTATCTAAAATCTCACTTAGAGTACACTATAACAGAATTTAGACAAGGATTTATAGACAGTATTTTGCAAAACATTACACTACACACACACATTAAAGAGATATTGATGACTTGCAATATGTAAGTACTTTTAAAAAAGCTAAGCAAAAGTAAAACAAAATTTAAAACCAACAATAAAAAGTGAATCACTATTATAAATTCAAAGGTAACATTTCTATTTCTGTGAAGCAAAATCAAGAGTTAGGTATCTACAAAAGTACAGTGGTACTATGGCAGTTGTTAACCGGTTTTGGGAGGTGCAAGAAGTACTAAAAAATGCTAAGTACTGTACCAAACAAATTGTTTTGGCTGGAAAGGATAGCGAGGCTCCACAATGAAAAGCTCCAGCTTGACTGTCAAGCAACAAACAAATGGTTAAGTACTAGGGCAAAATTTTCACATCGAAATCCATCAAGTGTCAAATTCATGAACTCTAAGCAATGGAGTGCTGAGATATGACTATTAAAGAATTCTGGGGCTGACTAGGCACTTGTCTTATTTAGAAGGTTAAGAATACAAGAAAAGGAAACACTGATTATTTTAATTTTGGATCCAGAACTGTCCAAGTGGCTTTGTGAACTCTACTAAAGCAATAATCCTACAGAACTATGATTGAATGATTTGTATAGGAGTAGAAGACTCACATCTGATGCTATAACTCAATACTCGGGCCTCTTATAAGAGACTCAAAATACTGTAACTGGACTCAAGAAACAATCTGCTTAAATTTCAGATAGAGCTACTGAAAGGCACAAAGACAAGACACCCAAACATTAAGCGATGGCAGTGCAAACTATTCTGGACTACAAATCTCAATGTTCCATCGTGACAAAAAGAAAAAGTGCAACTTAAATGTGAGAAGTCTGATCAAACTGAGGGCCAAGAGTGAAAAGCAGAAGTGGATGCATCTCATCTCTAGGCTAGCTGCTGACTGTTCTTCCTGGCCCAGAGAAGAGCCCTATTCTCATCTGATGGTGCAGACTGATACTACAACATACAACAGTTTCAGGGAGTGGGAAGTGCCAGGCATGCGAACAAAACAAGGCAGGAGAGCAACCTGTGTGTGATCTGGGGCTAAGGAAGCTCCTTCAGAAAGGGAGGCAGGAGCCTGGGGATTTAGCTCAGTGGTTCGGCTGCCTGCCTCGCAAGTGCAAGGTCCTGAATTCGATCCCCGGTATCAAAACAAAAAAAACAGCATACATATTTAGCTGAGGATTTAGCTCAGTGGTATCACCGCCTGCTGCGGAAGCACAAGGACCTGAGTTCGATCCCTGGTACCAAAAAAAAGGGAGGCAGGAAGTCAGGGCAAAGTCAGCTGCCACCTACAGCAGCAACCTTGAGGAAATAGCTCTAGGGAGAGGGATGAAGAGAGTGCTGGGGCGCAAGTGAGTTGGGTTGGCCGAGTAGCAGTAGCGGGACACAGCGAGTGTGGGAAAGCGCAGCAGCACACAAGATGCAGTCAGATCAGGGAGGGTCTTCTTAGACACCTCAGGGGAAGTTTAGATTTTATTTTAGGTACAGTAAAAAGCCACTTGGGAAGATGGAAGCAAACAAGGGGTTTATGTTGTTGTAAGGGAACTCTGGCCTTAGTATGAAGAAAGGATTATCATGTACAAACAGGTACAGCAAGAACGATGCAATGATGGACATCTAGGGGAGTCAAGCACAACTTAATTGTTGTAACGTAACTAAATAACGGGTGGCTGAGAGTACCAACCCCCAACCGCTGCCCAAGAGTTGAAAGGGAGAAAGGAGTGGCCTGACTTCATATTTCCACTCCGCTGTACACTAGATATTTCAAGAGTATTCGATCCAAATTAAGAAACAGCAGTTTCTGAAACTACCTACACTGCTGAGAGCCCTGAGAAATGCACATTTTTCTTCCTCAACTCCCACCTCACCACTTGCAAATTTAAAATCAGACCAGTCTCAACCATGGTCCTCAAAAAGACTTTAGTTTCAGTAAAGACCCCCTGATTTGTAGCTACTAAATTGTCATTTCCCTCAGACAGCTAAAATAAAGAAACTAAAAGTTCCTGTGAGTGTATTTGGCGATATGACTAATGATATAAGATGTTAAAAGGAACTGTTTAATCAGTGAAGAGTTTTATATCTGTAAAAAACACTAATTTGCAAATCAAACTGTGATAAACTGACTGGATGTCAATCTAGGAAGTTATTTCCTTAGTTTTCTAGTTCAAATTACCATAGATAAGTCAGATTAAAATAATTCTATATTGTTTTTTCCCCCAAGTGCTGGGGATTGAACTCAGGACCTTATACATTGCTAGGCAAGCTCTCTAGCATTTAACTACACCTCCAGCCCCTACATTGCTTTTTAAATTATGCAATTCTTTTTCCATTAGTTTGAGACCATATTTTTTGTCTAAATTAGTAAGTTTCTTTATTATTAAATATCTTAAAACAGAAGCAAACAGGACTAGTGTAAGAAAATATTACACATAATTATACCTCCACTTTAATTCTCTTTGGGGATAATTCATCTCTTTCACCACATTTCGACCTAAGGGGAAGAAGAGAGAGAAAAACTTGAGAAGATAGCAGCAGCTACCTACGAACTCCCCACAGAGAAATCACTCAATAAATATTTCATGATTATCATAAAGGAAAATATATCAAGGAGTATATCTCTTCATGGTTCAGCAGAAACAATTTAAGATAAAATAACAAAAATGCCCATTAAGATGAATGCTTAAGATTAATATACATGAGATTAAAAAGGCATTTTGTTGTACTTGGCTCCACAGCTCAGGGGTTAAAGCACTACCTTGTAAAAGCATTTTGTCTACACGCCAACACTAGACTTACCTTTGACTTGGAAATCTCTCAGCGGGAAATCTATCCCAGAGGAACTAACACATACATGTAATGACACTCCATCAATTCTACGGAACACAATTACTTCATGTGCCACTCTGAAATACTGCCAACTAAATTATAAATCAACTATAAGTTATACCTCAACATAAAAGACATCAGAATGTGAAGACGTACATCTCAGAATCAACAAAATATGATGTGTATGTTATTTATTGTGGCATTATTTTCAATAACAAAAGACTAAAAGTAAGTCAATATCCACCAACTGGACCAATACATATGTATTAATATAGAAAGATTGCCAAGATTTGCTAAGTAAAATAAAAGCAAAATATAGAAAAGTATACATGTATGCTTTTATTTTTAAAAAAGGGTGAAAATGAGAATGTATTTTTATTTGTTTGCACATATATAACAAGCACTGGAAGGATGAAAAAGAAACTACAAAAACTACTTATGTTCCGGAGAACAGGGGAAGAGGTAGGAATGGAAGCACAGCTTCACGGACCCGACAAGTGGGAAGGTGACAGAGTACAGGAGCTGCAGTCTCACTGTAAGACTTGAGTACTTCTTAAATCACAACCATGCATATTTTGATTAAAGAAAATTATCTAAATACAGTACTCTGAAAATTTTGTATAATACAGTAAAGAAAATACAGTATAATGCAGTAAAAAAAAAACCCACTGACTCAGTGCTTGATTATCTGATTCCAGAAAAAAAAATTGTAGAAACAATCTTGTCATATTGCTGCATATTCTTCCCCTGTTCATTTTGTCTACCTAATTTTGTTTATTGCATGGTTGTAAATGTGAAGTTGCCAAGGTAGGCCAGAAAATGAAGCTATTGCAAGTTAAGGGAAAACAACAGTTAGTGACGGCACATGTCTAACCTTAACCTTGAGTACGGACAAGGCTCATCTGGGATACATGGGAAAACTTCGGGTTACACGGTTCCATCCTCCAGAGACTTATTTATTAGACTTGGGAAGAGTGCTGAAGGTATGAATTTTCAACAAATATTCAGTGTTACTCTCATGTAAGTGGTCATTTATGTCTACTCACAATAACAGTGACATGTACAAAAGACAATGGGCTGGAAATAAGGCTCCATGCAGAACCACCTAAACACAATAAAAATACCTATACCAATATCTGTAGAGGATGATTAGGGCTCAAGGGGGTAATAAGATGATGAATAGTATTGTGTGTGATTTTGAAGCCACCATTTTTTTAACATTACATTTTTTTGTATTTCAAACTCACATTCCATGTTCCATTTTCTAGCAGTGAAAATATTTCCAATTTCCCTTAAATGCTGGTCAAAAGTCTTTTCACGCATTCAGTAATCTCAGGTTGCAAACAACTTGCAAAAGTAACCATTTTGTTTCCTCAGTTCAACAAGTTCATACAGTTAGTGAGCTGTACAAATACTGTAAGTCTATAAAGGCTGTCTAAATCCCATCATCCACTCAGAACCTATGTGTGTGAGAAAAATGTCTATCCTAACACAAGAACGATGTTACCGTACTAAGAAACTACATCTTTCAAAGGAGAGGAAGATCAGAATCAAAACAATGAGCATCTCTGTTTGGAGTAAGAAGTTCTGGTGCTTCTGCACTGCAGGGGCTGAGGCACTGCTTACCTAGTGTGTATTACAAAACCTCAGGAAAGGCTTTGACTGTGTTTTGTTTTGTTACCATAAATTAGTAGTAAATATTTAAAGAGATAGATATATTTAACTTGGTTTAAACATTATACAATGTATACATGCACTGAAATATCACATTATCCCATTAATATGCACAATTTTATGTGCCTGTTTTAAAAATTATTTAAAAATCACTTTTAACAATCATGCTTTTAAAAGTCAGTAATTGTTTAGTTTTACAGAATTATAATCACGTTTACCTTTTCAGAAATGCTCATTCATATTCTATCAGTGGAGGGTGTTTCAAACTTGCCTTCTATTAGGCAACGCAAACATACTGCTGACTAGTTAACACTTACTTGGTGGTTCTGTAAGTATATTTATAGGTGACTTCTCGAGAAATCTGCCTAGCCAGGGCAAAAAGTTCATCTCTTCGTGTCAGTAGGGCATTATCCTTCACACAGAGCTGAGCAGCTGCTTCATTAACAGTGAGCTGGATATTCAAAATAAAGTTAAAAACTATAAACATTTTTATCTCATCAATATGTAAATGTCTCAATATAAAAAGTTTACATTATATAATAAAATCACAATTCATAAAAATCAGGATGGTATTACCCCTAAAGCCAAATTTTAGAATAAAATCAACTCATTTACCATTTTGCAAAGCCTAAACTATTCAAAATAGTTATCTTAGTTTTATTTATTTTATTTTTGTTTAGTTAGGAGAGCTTATGCACTATAAAGAATATAAAAAGTAACAAGTATTCCGAAGCTCACTTTTCTTGTAAAAAACCAAGGGATTAAAACATATGATATGGTGATAGTACTTCCCTAACTAAAAGTAAATATACATGGTCTGACAGCATGTTTAAAAATGTGAACTGACATAAAAATTCTTATAAATCAAAATTAAATGATTTTAGTTAAACACCCAATCACTTACTAACAAGGAAGTTATCACACATTAGGGCTACCCCAGAAAATCAATGGTGACTCATCTTTTTGTTTGTTTGTTTTTGGGTTTTTTGGGGTATTTTGGTACCAGGGATCGAACTCGGGTCCTTGCACTTGCGCAGCAGGCGACGAAACCACTGAGGTAAATCCCCAGCCCCGGTGACTCATCTTTTAAGATTCATCTAATTCTACCTTCTCGTGATTCAGTAACTGTTAAATATTGCCAATATAGAGTTGCCAGTGACACTGTACTAAAACTTAAAATAGCAAATGTCATCCTAAACTCAAAATCTCTAATTGTTTAATAATCTTAAGCATGTTTTTCTCATAATTGTGTCGATTTAAATAGCTACCAGGAACTGCCAGGAGGTACATCAGACTTTTTTTAAAAAGCAACTGAGCACTCAATCAACCATGACCAATGGCAGAAAGAAAACAGGACCTGACTGAGATGAGCCCGATGCACTGTCCCCAGCTGTGTGCCTGGACAAGCAAAGGGCAGGACAGCAGTCTGAAGGGTCTCTAACAAAAGAGGAGAAATGCCTTGCACAGCTGTTGTACTGGTTCTTGCTTTTCTTAAGTTAACTTAAGTATATATGTATATACAGATTTGCAATCTCCTTTTTTCCCACATACATACAGCATAATTTTTATTTTTACCACATTAGGACAGAGACTTGGCTTGTTTATATCAGCATCTGGTACTGGTTGTATATTCAGTAGTATCTGTTGACTGATTAATGAATTTAAATTTCTATATACCATTTTTCCCTACACACACAATATTCCATTATAGGAAAAAACAATATACTATTTAAACCAACTCACATTAAACTACCCCCAGTTGTCCATGTAGATTACAGAATGTATTACATTTTTAAAAATTTGTATGTTCTACCAAATTACCCTTCAGAAAAAGTTGCCATATCATAGTGATACCAACAATTGTATAAAAAGTCCATTTCTTAGAATATTGATCAACACTGCTTATTATCTTTCAAAAGCTTCATGAATTTCACATATTTTACATGACTTTGGTTATATGTGCATTTATCTGAGTATAAAATTGAACTTTTTTATGTTTTTGACTTATTTTAAAATTTTCTTGCTTGAGACATTTCCCTGATTCTTCTATTAGTGTTTCATTTTCTTACAGACTTTAGGAATTATTTACATATTAAGAGCATTAACTCTCCACATATATAGTGCTTTATTTTGTCACAGTAGTCATTAGCCTTGTAGTTTCTGCCTTGGGTGAAAGCACAGAAACTTCTTTCCTGCCTAATAATACATAAATCTTTTCCTATATTTTAGTTTAATAGTTTAATGTTCCCACTTAAGTATTTAATCCACCTAGAATATGTTATAGTGTTTGGTATGATACATACATATGTAACATCTTCCTCCCCAAATTTCCCACTGTAATTTATGCTGGTTTGTTCTGAGAAAATTAGTTTAGCTGACAGCAAGGTTATAATAAGCCTAAGACATTATTTTAAATTTGAAGCTAAATATTAAAAAGTAATAGCACTGCAGGAGGCTGATGCAGGCAGATCACAAGTTTGAGCCAAGCTTGGGCAACTTATCAAGAGTCTGTCTTTAAAGAAAAAAAAAAAGAGTAAAGAAGGTAGAGCAAGCTGGGGATGCAGCTCAGTGCAAAGGCCTTGGTTCCCCACTTCCCCCCAATAAAAAACTGAAATTGAAGGAAGAATTTATTTTCTGCCTTCTCCTCTCCTCCTAAAAAATCATCAAAGATCAATTCCTTCCCAAAGTGCTTTTGAAAGGCACAATGCTACTGGAGCTAAAAGTGAAATGTATTTTAAAGAATACATATCCTAAGTAAACTGCAAATTCACCATGGTAGTAGCTACAGTGACCTTGAAGATCTTTCTCAAATTGCTTTTTAAATAGCTACTTCTGTTTTGTATTTACAAATCTAAATTACAATAGAAAACCCTGTCAATAAGATACCTAAATTAACAACATTTCAGAAGTACTAGCTTATGCATAACCACAGAAAATAACTTCTCAATATGAACTAAGAACAGTCTTCTAGCATGCCTTCTATCATCTTACTGAAGACCAAAGAAAACAAGCATAATATTCATTATCAGGGAATTCAAACTCCAACAGACTAAAAAATGTAGCAAGCCTACTTTCTAGCCTTTTAGCAGAAAATTAAGGCTAGAGAAACAATCCTAGCTCATTCCCAAGTTGTAGTAAGAAGGTGTTTAAGTCTCCTTCAAAACCATGTGTTATCAAGATTTTATGGCCTCCGGTTGCTAAAAATGAACAAATCAATAAATATTATGATACATTTTTTAAAAATGTCAAAAACACTTCAAAAAGTAGTCACTAGTTGCAGCACCACGTTAGCTTTTTAGAAAATGCCCATATTCCAGTTGTATTAAAATTAATAAAATATTCTCCCTTACTGGTTTATTTCCCTTACTTCCTCTTTCCATGGCCCAAAATACCAAAATTCCATTCATATCTTCAGGTAAAAGATTTCTGAAAGTTAGCTTTCCATCATTCTAGCTTTATAAGCTGAACTCACAACAGCTACCTTTGCCTTCAGGAAGAATAATTAACTGATTCTATGAAAAAAATTATTTACAGATAGTTAAAACCATAATCTTTAATAATCAAATTATTATAAATTTCTATTAAGTATTGTTGCTACAAACATACTACAGGAGTGCTCTATGACAGGGAGGCTCAACAGGCAATCAGGACTTTCCTTTTTAGCACTCAGGGGCCTTATATACCATGAAGGACTATTCAGATCAAAACAAATAAAGAGTAAGGGGAGGACACTTGCTAAGCTGGAAAACCTGAACAATCTTCACAGTCTAATGGGGCTGAGGAGTAAGAAGGGACAAAGAGCCAAAGCCTAGGGCTCCCTCTCCCAAAAGTGAAGTGTCTAAGACCCCTCTCCTCCTTAAAGCTGAGCCCTCGAAGCACTACACACCAATAGAAGGCTGAACCAGAAAATCACCTCTAGTCACAGGGGAATGCAAAGAAAATTTCCTGTCTTGATCCTTGGTGCTAAGTGAGAAAGAACAGAAGATATGCTACTAAGCCTGTGTAAGTCCAAATCCACCTTCATATTTATCTTTAGCCCTAATTCACACTAAGTTGGCTGAGAAATTATTTTCACAAGGACCAGAGTTATAGTGTCCCCAGTTGCCTGGTAGAAGTAAAAGCAAATAACCTCTAGGGAAATCAATCCACTTTTTGCCTGGGCCTCTGAACATTTAAAATTCCAAGAAATATGAATTTACTGACAGAAACCATGAAATAGAGAAACAAAGCAGCAAAAGACAGACTCAAATTCTCAAAGACTTCATTTAAAGAAATAAAGAGAGCTGAAAATATGACTGAGAAGCAACACTGTTAAAATGACAAGACATACAGAAACAAAGAAGAAAAAAACTAGGGGCAAAAACAGAAGATTTAAAAGCCAGATAATAGGGGCCAGGGATTTAGCTCAGTGGTTCCACCGCCTGCCTTGCAAGCGGAAGGATCTGAGTTTGACGCCCGGTAGCAAAAAAACAAACAAACAGATAATAAATTAACTGCATAATCACTAATTTCTAAACATAAAGCTGAAAGCCAATAAAATGGTACCTTCAACTACTAAAAGAAAACTATAGACAATACAGAATTTACCTCAAGTAACAGTAATTAAGAATGAGGACAAAATTTTAAAGGTGTAAGGAAAGCCAGTGTGTAGCTTTTCACTGCTGTGAGCAAATACTTGAGAAATACACTTAGAAGAGGAAGAGATTAGTTTGGCTCAGTTCAGAGGTTTCAATGGTGGTTGGCTAAATCTAATACCAGCCAACCAGGGACTAAGGGAACACAGAATATCATGGCGGAGGGTATGGGAGAAGACAAGTGCTCAACTGATGACAGCCTGGAAACAGACAGGGGAAGAGCCAGAGGAGGAGAAACTGAGCACACGCTGGCATTCCTGAGTCACGCTCCCATTACCCACTCCATTTAACCAGGGCCCACCTTAAGTCTCCATCACCTCCCAACAATGCCATCAAATGGCAATCCTATCAATGGGAGCTAGAAACTGTAGGAAAACAGAACACACACACACACCCCACAACCAAGAAAATCAACTAAGCTAAAAGTCACTTCTTCAAAAAGATCTGAAGTTGGCAAGCTTTTTCTGTAAAGGGGCAGAGAATCAGTCTGTGTCATATCTACTCAACTCTGCCACTGTAACCTGAAGTTAACCACAAACAATTCATAAAGAAGCAAGCCTAGCCTGTGTTCCAATAGAAGTGTATTTATAAAAACAGGAGGTGGGCCAGATTGGGCCCACAAAGCTTAGTGTGCAGATCTCTGAAAAAGAATAACACTGACAAACATCTGGGGGGGAAAAGATAAATGTATGGACAGTATTATGTCTTTAAAACTATGAACAACTGCATGCAAAAAAGTTTGAAAACTTGGATGAAATGGACATGTTTAGAAAAAATGTAAACTTATCAGATGATTCAAAAAGAAATGGATTACTTAAGAGTCCTGTAATTTATGTTTAAAAATCATTCAAAGGAAATGGCCAAAGAAATTTTAAAATAAATATAACATTTAACATATATAGTATTTGACCTAACAAATTGTACAAAATATATATGAATAAAAGAATTATAAAATTACTGGGGAATATAGAAGAAAGGAAACACATGCACTACATCCCTGTATAGGCCTCATTGTAAATATGTTAATTTTTACCAAATTAATCTATACATTCAAGGCATTTTTAATTAAAATGACAATTTTTCTTTTTGGTCCTGGGGATCGAACTCAGGACCTTGTGTTTATGAGGCAGGCGGCAGCACCACTGAGCTAAATCCCTGGCCCTAAAATAACAAATTTTTGATGAAATAGACAAATGCATCCAAAATTTTATTTGAAAGATTCTTTTAAAAAACCAGAAAAGTTGCAAAATGAGACTCGTGGAGTACTTGCCTTTCCAGATAGCTAACCACATCATAAAGCTACAGTAATTAAAATAACTCAATCTGGTATGGGAATAAAAAATTAAACCAATGATACCATACAGGCTAAGATCAGTAGATACTACAAAAAATTTCCACATGAAAGGGCAAAGGACACATGTTAATCTATAAAAATGTTACAATATAAGACAAATAGTTAATACCCTAAGAATGTAAAATTTTTCCGATTTTTAAAACAAAATTCCAACATCAAAACAAGTATCTGTTAAAAAATATGAAAGGATACTCATCTTCTGTAAGAAAAATAAATTTGAGCAATGAGAATTTTTCATACTAGACTGTCAAAGATGAAAAAGAATGTAAAATGCATTATTAGCAGTCTGTGGGGAAATGGACATTTGCATATTAATAGTAAAAGTATAAAAAGTTGCAGCTCTTTTGGAAGGCCTTTTAGCAGTAAATTGAAACTTTAAATCTACATATTTCTTAATGCCATAATTTTACATGTTGGAATCCATCTACAGAAAGATATGCACAAGTCTGTAAAGGTTTATGTGTATAATAATGTTCACAAACTTTTAAATATAAAATTTTTTAAATGCCAACAGCCTAAATAAAGTAGTTAAATAATAGCACATGCACACTATGGAAAAGAACGTAACCCTTACATAAGTTAGGTAGTTCTATGTGTACTGACTTGATAAGGTATCTAATAGTGTATTGTACTGTGAGGATACTGTTTGATTAAAAAAAAATTCAAAGAACAGTGTCCAAAACATGATCCATATTTGTACATTAAAAAGTATTCTGAAGTTTACTGACTCAATACTTCTGTGTCCTTTCAATGAGTACATATTCTTTTCATGTTAAAGTACAAATCTGGGGGGAAAGAGCTGCTATTAAACGTGAAATATTATATTCAACCTGAACATTTTTCAGGGGATTTCTTTCTTTTTTCTAAAGTATGAGTGCCCAACCTTTTGGTTTACCTGGGCAGCACTGAGTGAAAGGGAGTGTCTTAGGTTGGATATAAAATATATAATATAGTTAATGCATATAAGTAATAAAACTTCCTTAATTTTATTATTATTATTATTTATTTATTTATTTTTAAAGAGGGCAAGCAGCCCTCAGGCTGTGGGTTGGTCACACTGCCTAAAAGATACATAGAGATGAAAAAGCTATGGAAGTCTTGCAGTTCTCAAAGTAAATGTATTTTCTAATCACTTATTGGGTATGTTAAGACTCTGGAGATAAAAGATGAATAAGACACAGCCTCTGCCTTGAAGAAGCCCAAATTACACTGCAAGAGACAAGACCTGGACACCAGTAAGCAATTCCAACGAAGTGTTCTCAAGTAACTGTGACAGAAGTGTATTCAGGGATAAAAATTTAAAAGGAAAGGAAAAGTCATTCTATTTGGAGGAAAAAATAACAAAAAAAACAAGCTTACACTTGAGCTAAATTTTAAAAATGGCATGTTGGCTGGATAAGCAAGGGGAGAGAGAAAGTGCAAGTTTACACACACACACACACACACACACATACTTAAGCTGAATATTTCTACAGTGCTATAAAGATAAAACAATACGAATTTTTAATGCCAAACATCAAAACAATGTGAAAAGCTATAATAATCCTTCTAATGTTCATCAACTATAATTTTGTTTTCTATACTGGCTGGAAACTGTTTTAAGTTTTATTTTTAGAAATTGTTTTTTTGTTTAAAAAAGTTTACAAAAATGTTTAAATGAATGTGTCTACACTGAAAAATCCTATTTTATTTGTTAAAAATAAACTGCCTCAGAAACACAAAGACTTTATACTGTCAGTGATTAAATTCTGACATTTTTCTAAGTCATATTACACCGTAGTTTCAAAGCTCAAACATGTTTGAGTTTAACACAAAATACTCCAACACAATACAGACTCCTTTCCTAAGAGTTGTATCTGGCTAATACCTGTGTGGTTTCAGTCCTAGTCTCAGGAAATCCATCTCCTTTTCCGGAGACTACTACCAAACTTACCTTAAAGGAACAGCAAAACACCCACCACACACACACAGAGAAAGAAGAACCTGGGCGTACCTCATGAAGCGTGAGATGTTTTCCATCCTTTCTCTTGGAGTCAAATCTGCCATATATTGCACTGTATTTTCGAATTTCCTCCTCTTTGTGTGGATCATCATCACTCATCTCAAAGATGTGACCGATCATTTTAGCCAGCTTCTTGTTAGTTTTTAGCAACTCTTTCACTTCATTCAAGTCACTTTTCGGCAGGGTGGGGGCCATGCGCTCCACACACTCAGCCACAGAGAGTGCAGCAGCAGCATCCAGAGCCTCACTGCTCTCCTTTGGGGACGCGGGGGAGCCAAGATCTGCTGGGGAGAGGCTGTGCTCGCTCTCTGATGCGTGGTGACCTTGCCAGAGTCTGGACTCGCCCACACTCTGCAGCGCTAAGCTCCCCACCAGGTCTGACTTCCCCTGTCCCAAGCTCTGCACACAGGTGGTAGCGGCACATTTGGGGATTTTTAAATGAGGTTCCCGGGCATTGCTACTTCTTTCATAACTGCTGCAGGATATTCCCAGCCACGTAGGTGATCCCTCCGGTAATTTATAGATAGGTATGCTACTGACAGGAAGGGAAGTCAGCGGCTGATTGAAAAGGCCAGGGTTTGTAACCCAGTCTCTCAAAGCCTTCTGTAGCCTTCTAACATGAAGGGGCTTGCTAGCCATGCCCACCAGTGCCATGATTTCCAAAAATTCCTCTTCTCCAGCTTCACAGAGTTGCTGGACGTCATCACCACCTTGTTGGATAAAGGCATCAAAATAAGAAAGCAGATTGGCTTTTTGCAATATTCTATACAGCTGCAACTCCCCTAGGGTCCTGGGTAAGGCCGCAGCCATTACTGTGGATAGAGTTAACCTACAAAAAGAAGAGACAAAAAAACTCATTGCACTTGCTTCAAACTTCTTAAACCAGATAGTTCAGATACTACAGGATTTAGGAATGCAATACAGGAAAAACAAGGAGCATGTGCACAACAGCTGACTGCTAAGGAAGCATTCTCTCTCTCTCTACATCCTTTATCTGACTTTGTACTTCTAATAACCAGAAAGGTCAGTAACTAAACTGATCTATTTTCTTAAAGGAGAAGTAAGCAGGAAATGCAGGTTCTCAGGGTTCTGGGTCCCATATTTTCATCTACATACTTCACTGCTTCCATAGTGTGGACAAAGAGGTGGAGCGAAGATAATCAAAATTAGCAGGAGGTAAGTAGCATGCTATCATTCAGCGAAGACTTACTCTATGTCCAGCAATATGATAAACACTTTACATTATATCTAATCCTCACAACTGCCACTGTGTGATAGGTGTATTTATTCCCATTTTGTAAAGAAAAATTAGTAACACTGGCCAGCAGGACAACTAAGATCAATTTTGGCTCAAGAAGGAGGTTTAAAAAAAAAAAGGAGGTAGTATATTTAGGAACCAAAAAGAACAAAAAAAAAGCAGATGCAAAAATTCAAACAAGTAAGTGATAAGACTTGTGATCACTTTGGTGTAAGTGATAAAAAGGATACAGTTGCCATTTACTAATACTTTGGTTTCAGGGAAAAAAAGTATTCTAAATGACTATGAAATTACATATCTGAGAGCCTAGAATTCTAACAGGCATCAAGGACATAGAAAAATCAGATTAGTAAGATTCCCTTTCAAACGGGTGGCACTCAAACTTGGCTCTTGGTGGAATGCTTATGAAGAACTGCCCTGTATGCAAAATAACAGGCTGAAGCCTAAATAGGCATCAGGGATAGAGATGCAGGATGCAATCGGAGGCCAGTGAGCCCTCCAGAGCAGCAGCAAAGCCCAAGGCAGAACCAAGAAGAAAGATACTTCTAAGGCCCAAGCAAGACCAACATGCCTATCTTTAAGAGAAGGGAACAAGACAAGCAAAGTGCTTTTTGACCTCTTAGCAGCCTTTAAAAGTTGCTCACAGTTGCTTGGGGAGACCTCCCACATGCAAAGAAGAGTTGGCTAAGTACTTCCATTTAAGAGAAATAAATTAACTTGTAATCAGTGCTCTCCTAGGATTAAAAAGACCCAGTTGCCCTCTATGGAAGAAATTGCAAAGGCTAAAAGAATACATACATCAGAGAAAAATGGAGGACCCATTCTCAATTCAAATGGTATGGAACAATAGTTACTGGGAGATGATGCAGGCAGAGGAATCAGGCACACCCGGAAAGCCAGAAAATCACCAAACCTGGGAGTCAACCATTTAATACAAAACTCTAGTCTCAGACTTCAGAGAATGAACACTAGGTAGGCTCTTCTTGCAGAATCTGTTTCTTCCACAATCTGTTCTGATCAACTAGTGACCCCTTAAACTTTATGGGTATTTACAAGGGCTAATATGAGCACAGCCTGATGATTTTCCAAGAGACAAAAAGAAAGCTACAACCAGGGCCCAGGAACTTCTGCCACATTCATCTGGAGTGCATTTAAAACAGTTTCCCAGGTCCCTGAGCTTCAGCTCAGGAGATGCTCAGGACCAGTCAAAGAAGGCAAACTAGCACAAGAAGAGCCCTATTTAGAACATTCTCCAGGCAATACAAACTCTAGAAGTTCTCTGACTCTCTAGGTTCTTTAGGTCCACCTTCATGTTTATGGCACCTCGTTCCTCTAGATAAAAACATTCTTTTATCTTCCACATCACCCAAACGAACATCTGCCTGTTCTAATTGAACGAGAGTCCATCACCCAGCTGGACACCAGCCCACAAAAACACAGCCCTTGAGACTTAAGTTTAAGCCTGTATTAAACTACGACATATCAAACAGAAGGCTTATAGAGTGTCTGAAGTAGAAGAAAAGAAATTTACCCTCTCATCATATATCTAATGCAACTGGCTCCATGTGCTTTCAACTAGAACACAGGGGAGGGCTGTGGCTTTGTAAGGTTTACAGGCCAATCAGTTAACTTACCATATCTACTCCCCAAATTATTGAATAGAGGAAACACTACATGACAAAATCTAGAAGAATTTTTAAATCTTTATATAAACTGTAAGAAAAAAAACCCATATTTCTCTATGTTACAAAAATAAACAGAGGGGTCAGGGATTTAGCTCAGTGGTGCCGCCGCCTGCCTCGCAAGCGCAAGGTCCCAAGTTCGATCCCGGGTACCAAAAAATAAAAAATAAAAAGAGAAACTTAAAGATAACTAAATGACCCAAACTTAGATTTTAGTCTTCTGAGATAAGACAATGATTTTAGAAAAATAGTAATTTTCAAGTTTTAGCTTTTCTCTTCTTTATCCAAGAAAAAGCAAACAATTTGCCTAGTTCCTAAGAGAAAGCCCTTGTGGACTGGTATCATACTACAAGGACACATGCATACATATTGTTTAAAGCCAAACAATTCAAAAGTTTGGAAGTGGACTGTATATCTAGCAACACATGAATGGATAAAAATGTGATACTTACACACAGTAGACCACTACTCTGCCATAAAAAAGATAAACTTGAGTCATTTGTAGAAAAATGGATGCAACTTGAGATCATAATATTAAGTGAAGTAAATCAGACATATAAGCTTAAACATCACAAGTTTCTCTTCTATGAGAAACCCAAAATATAAATAATGAGCAAAATAAAAGTTAATAGGAAATAAGGAGATAGAGCTTTCTCAAATAGGATGGGGACCAAGAGATGAAGGGAAGGGGGAGGGATGGGAGAGAAAGGAGATGAGAAAAGGAACGAAGATGTGTTATGTACATATACCAACTCCACACAAGGAATGGAAACATTATGTACTGCACACATGTACTAATAAATATTTTTAAATGAAAATATAAAGTGTCTCCAATAAGGACACTATTTCCCTAAGGACAGACAGGACTAAGTGCACATTTCCAAAGTCAGGATAAAGGATGAACAACAAATACACGCTAGGCAACTATTCAGAGTCCCAGGAGGTTTTCTAAAGACTCACTGCTGGGAAAGGTGTTTTCTCCCCAAGCTTTTGCATTGGGAGAATGTTTCGGTTTCTTTCCAGAGCCTGCTGTGATAATTTAAACACCCACCACTTCATACATTAACTTGATTCTATTTAAAAGAAAACTTTTGTGAGAGTTTACGTTTTCACAAAATCTGTAACCATTTATGGTCCAACATGAATGTCAAATAAGTGGAAAGCAAGCTTCAACCTGCATCTCTCTGATCTGAACTATACAAAGGGTCCTAACACAGCACTACCTACAAGCAGCTTACCAGATAGGACAGTAAATCTACTCAGCTGAAAACTACTGCTACCTGGCTTCTCCAAGATCCTACACTACCAAGGGGAGTCTGATCTTTTTGTGAATTCCACTATTAAGAGAAACCAGTTACTCATTCTTGTTGGCTCAAAAGATAACCCGAGGCCGTACTGCAAACCTCCACTTAACCCCTGTGTAAATGTTCCCTACCCTGGAAAGTCCAATAAAAAGAACCCCAGTATCAGGAAGAGAATTACATAGTAATAATAGATTAGTCTAAGACTACTTGTTAAAAAAAAAAAGACTACTTGTTCTTATGGTAATGATCTATTTCAAAACCTTAAAAGTTGTGTCTTACTTGGCTCCTTACAGGGTGGCATCAGTCTTCTAACTATGCAAAGTAAAATATGGGTCTGTCTGATCCAGAAACTTTTACTGGTCAACCCCTGGTTTACTACGGGAAACAAACTTTTCCAAGATTGTTTCTCCAAGCTTGGATGTGATGATTTAGAGAAGGGCAGAACCCTTTTATAGTCACTAGAGAAAGGAAATCATTCCTTCAAATCTGCCTCAATCCAGCCTGTCCCCTACCCCCAATAAACATCTCAAATAACTACTGAGTTACTGCGTAAGGTAGAACAGATGCCTTTCCGGGGCACTAGGGAAAAGAAGAATCATTTTAAACCTGCTTCCACCCAGTCTCTCTGCTCCTCCAACTTTTATAAAAAAATCTGAACTACTGAGAGAGGCCAAGCTGCTCAGTTTCTCAGCTGTGTACATCAACCCTTGAAACAAATCTTCATTTGACTTTGGTAATGTGACATTTTCTTTTGGCCACCTTCCCTTACTATATTTTAAGGGCAAGAATCCCCCACGGCTTTCCCATTTGCTGGTGCTTTCTGAGATGTGGATCTTGCCATATTGCCCAGGCTGGTCTTCAACTCCCAAGTTCCAGTGATACTCCTGGTTCAAGTGACCCTGCTGCCTCAGGTTCCCGAGGGCTGAGACTACGGGAAAGAACCACTGAATCCAGCTTCCAACGTTTCACACAGGATCACTTTTCTACTGTCTGTCTTTATTCCCCCTGGTCTCTTCCTCTCCCAGCACCAATTACCACTATAAGCAGTAACCTCCAAATCTACATCTGTATGTTGGACCAATGGTACGTGGGCGAGGGGCTAAGGAGTTTCTGCTGCCAAGTGTCCACAAAGGCAAATGTACATCAAGCTCTGGTTGCTGAGTCAAAGGATGCCTCCACACGTCTACTTTACAAATGAAAGTAAATAAGCTTTTTGTACTTTAATAAAACACAAACCCATTTAAAAGTAGACCTGAGGGCAGGATTTAGCTCAGTAGTTCCACCGCCGCCTGCCTTGCAAGCGCAAGAACCCGAATTCGATCCCTGGTACCCCCCACCAAAAGTATACCTGAATTTACTGTTTTGAAAATATACTTAATAAAGGCTAGAAGTATGAGTACTTGCAATTTTTTTTTTAATTTAAGAAGTGATCTTTAGTCCTTAAAAATTTTAGAACCACGGGCCAGGGATTTAGCTCAGTGGTTTCGCTGCAGCGCAAGGAACTGAGTTCGATCCCCAGTACCAAAAAAAAACAAAAAACAATTTTAGAACCATCAGCCAGACTTATGAACTGTAATCTGGCATTCCACCTGGGGATTGCCAAAACCTTAACTTTGATATGTCCAAAAGTAAGTACAATATCTCGTCTTCTCTTCTAGAGTCCAAATCGACTCTTCTCAACTCCCTCAGTTCTCTGGGTTGCATCACTACTTTTACAGTTCCCTAGTTTAATAAAAGTGTGGCGTTCATCAGGCCACCATCACCTTTTCTCTATCTCAAAAGTTCCTAATTCTGGTTTCCACTGCTTCTTGACTAAACTTTGAAAATAACTTCCTTACCTTCAGTGGATCCTGGACTGCAATGCTAACTTTACCTTCCTAAAGGGCAGGTAATGACACTTCACTCACCTGTGCAAATCTCCCCACTCCTTAGACAGACACCCAAATTACTCATACAGGCACCCCAAACCCAGACCTCTCCAGCTGGCCGCCCCGTCTCTCCCTCAAATGTGCCTTCCACTTCCTTGCCCACCTCAGACACCCTCCCTTCCTCCCACCTCCACCACGTTTCCCCAAAGCCTTGCCCACACCTCTGGCTACAGGTGTTCTCTCCTTCTTGGAATCCCTCAGTTCTTCCCTTGCCTTTCACCTCTCCTCTCCCCACACCTCCCTTCCCATTCTCTCCCCTCTTTCAAATACACCAGGTCAGTTTAGGGATACAGAGGAAACACGGCCCTTTGTGAAGAATCAGGAGGAAGGAGACAGACCAGCAGCATACACTTAAGCACTATGACAAACAACAAACGCTATACAACATCTTACACAAAAGGAGCCAGAGATCAAAGATGACTTAACCTGGCTCTGCAGAACAAGTTACTGTTAGGTTATATGCAGCCTGAGGATAGGAATAGGTCTCATTAGTCTTTTACTTGCTTCATCACCAGCAAAATGTTCTATATGGAATAACATCTCCATAAAGGTCACTGTTTAATGAGGCCCAACGTTTAAGCCTCCTTTCATATTCCACAAAGAACACCTAGGTACACTGTTGCCCCAGTGAACTGCCAATCTAGTAATGGCAGATTCTGTTGCTTCCTTTAACTTTACCTACACTCCTTGCCATCTTCTCATCCTTGATGCTTTTTCTTTCTTAGAAGACCATACGGTAGACTCTCATAATATGGCTATTTTTCCAAGAGATCAAAGGATGCATTCCCAAATATAGAAACTACACAACTAATGTTATAATATATATTGTGTGAGTCTAGCCCTCAGACCAGCATTTTTAAGAAATTAAGTTCAGTCACAAGTGATTCTAGATCTTATTCATCTATGTTCCTAAAAATTACATGCAATATAAATTACTCCCAAATAAAAAATTTATTATATTCAAATGGCCTCATATTCACTACTCAGTATTTTCCCCCACATGGTAGAGGCATCACTGCCTCACACACAACTTAGTGGGTGAGTAAGTGTGTATAAACACATATGTACCTTTATAAAGCCTGACATTCCAGGGAAGAGAGAATCTTCAAGGAGTGGGGAGAAACCAAGAGCAAAATCCCAAGGCCTTTCTTCTTTATGCAGAGGATTATAAATTCCTTGCCCCCAACACAGTCTGAAATTTTTACTTCAAAATTATCTAATAGCAACCTCTCTTAGACTTAAAAAAAAAGGGGAAAACCCTGGCTAAGGGCTCACAAATCATTTACAGACTGAAGTGAATTAGTTCCACAACACTGTTTTTCTCTTAATGTCCAGATGAGATCTATTACACACTGAGGGAATAAAAGGTTGAGACTGGAAATGGGGACAAAAGAAATAGTCATTCTGATGACAGACTACACTTAAAGTCTCTGAAGTAGAGCTGACTTTAGGAGCATGCAGCTCAAAGGTAGGGGCCTGAGAGAAGGGTGCAGTGGAACACTACAGGCTAAAATGAAAAGGTCTTAAAAAGTCAGAATTTGGCTGAGGAAAGGGTGAGCCTCTAAGGAAATGAATTCTTACCACATCTACCCTAGACCCAGAATACAGAACTCAAGCTAAATGATTAAGTTACTTCCATTTCAAGGGTTACTTAAGTTTGCACAGCTGGCCTGGATACTAACTCCTATTTATGTTTGAAGTTCCCAAAGATTTACCTAGCTACATTTACCAGTAAGCACATAGTGATTTAAATTAATTAAGCCAAGACATGTTTGACTTTATTACTGTTAAAGATATGACTTACATATACAGTTTCTAATGAAAT